GGCCGTGTCTGTTTGGCAGGCTGGAACAGTACGAACAAACCCTGAGAGTCGACAAGTAATGGACAGGAGCATGTCATAATTCTTGACCTTAGGAAATGGGCCGATGAAGTCTAGCGCGATGTGTTCCATCGGGATATGTGGAACCTCGCTTGTTTGCATTCGTCCGGAGGTCAGAGTCATCCTCGCCTTTGTTTGTTGGCAAGTGTCACATGAAGCTACGAATTTCTTGACATCAGTCGTGAGATTGGGCCAAAAGAATTCGCTCCGAAGTTGCAGTAAGGTCTTCAGTGTTCCTAGGTGTCCAAGTGATTCATGAACTTGCGTGATCAATCGGTGTCTCAATCCGTCAGTGTCTGGGACCACTAAACGATTGTCCAGAAAGATAAGGCCGTCTTTCACCTCTGTCCCTTCCCGTAGCGGCAGTGTCGAACGAAGCCGTACGCAGAAATGGTCCATGTCATAGCCAGTCTTGATGTCCTGTAAAGTTTGTTCATCGAATGTTGACTTGACCTCGAGTGCTGCTACGTCTTCAATTCTTGAAAGAGCGTCGGCCACAGTGTTATCCTCACCTTTCAAGTATTTGAAATCGAGGTCAAATTGCGAAAGGGTTTCCAACCAACGGGCCTGTCTTCTACTTAAGTTACGTTGCGTCTTGAGATGAGTGAGTGAATGGTGGTCCGACATAACGTTAACCTTCAAGCCTAAGAGTAAGAGACGCCATTTTTGAAGTGCGTTGATAACCGCCAGAAGTTCTTGTTCATGGACAGGGTAATTTCTTTCTGCCGGTGTCATTGTTCTGCTCTCATAAGCAATTGGTGACGCTTTATCCCACTCCAAGCCTTGAAACAACGCTGCACCTAAGCCGTGTCCACTAGCATCCGTAAAAAGCCAAATAGGGTCTTCTGATTCATAATCTAAGGTTTTTAATACTGGAAGTGTTGTCATTATTCTTTTGATGTTCTCAAATGCCTGGTCTTCTGATTTTCCCCATTTGAAAGGTTCATTTTTACGCTTTGTACTGGTTAATGGTGATAGTGTTCCAACATAATGAGCTAATCCATCTACAAATTTTTTCATAAACTGGACTGTGCCTAAAAATCGAAGGAGTTGCTTTTGAGATTTTGGTGTCGACCATTTGGTAACTTTATCTACCTTCTGCTCGTCCGGACAAATTCCATCTGCGCTTATCTCATGACCTAAGAAGTTGATTTTGCGTCGAAATAGTTTGCTTTTTGATGGAGATCAGTACAGCTTTGCTGCTTGCAAGCGTCTCAGAATCTCTCTGACATGGGCCTCATGTTCTTCTACAGAATCTGAAAAAACAACAACATCATCTATGTATACCACACAGATAACACCAATCAATTCACCTAAAGCTTCTTCCACACGTGCCTGATGCGTCGCTGGTCCATTGGTTACGCCCATTGGCATGACCACCCATTCGTAGAGCCCAAATGGCGTTTTGACTGCTGTCAACGGAATATCTTCTTCGCGCATTTTTGTTTGGAAGAAAGAATTGATTTGGTCAATGACAGAAAAAACTTTTCCTTTCCCCACCAATCGCACTGCCTCGTCAACATTGGGCAATGGTGAACGGTCCTTCACTGTGTACTTGTTCAGTGTGCGATAATCACACACCCATCGTGGCGGCGCGTTGGGATCCTTCTTCGGAATGATCATCGAAGGGGACGCGTACTGACTTGTTGACCGTCTGATTCGACCTGCAGCCAAATGCTGGTCTACTAACTTTCGCCATGGACCCCAGTACTTCTGTGGATAAGCGTACTGCTTCTCATTGATGACCACATTAGGGTCTGTCAATATGATCTTATGACGCACTTTTGAGGAATCATTTTGACTTTCAGGAGGGAAAAAGTCATCCTCCTCTTCAGATTCTACTGGGGGTAGTTCGTCTGGAAATAAATTAGAAAACTCCTTCAGGACTCTTTCTTCTTGAGCAGTCAAGTCTCTCGAGTCTTGAACTTGTTTCAGATTTTCAACAACACATGATATCATTTCATTCTTTATTTCATTGATCTCATTGACTATATTCTGAGATTCCCTAAGGATAGTCTTTGAAGGTACATGTTTCACAGTCCGGTCATGCAAAGATACATCAAGGTGGAATTTCTCTAAGAAGGGGGTCCCCAGAATTACATCAAAATTTTCTCCTAAGGGTGCGAGTTTGAAGAAGGTGGATCCAAAACGTAATGGTGGTTCTGATGACGAAACGTTGGCAAAGCAAAATTCCGTGAAGTAAAACGGTTGAGCTTCTTTGTTGTCAATTGCCAATCGCACTTCAACTGGCGCGACTAGTCGACGGTGTGGAATTTTGGCTTGCTTTGATAGTCGATCCGCCATCAGATTCGTTTCCGCTGCACAATCAATGAGCGCCCGAACATCAACACCATTAATTTTCAGCTTTAGGATGATGGATTTGGTATGAGAACCAGGGTTCTTGACACACCTTGCGTCTTCCTTCTCATTCGCCAAGTGAGCCACCAATACTCGGTCAGCTTCCTCATAACGTGCAAGGTCTTGAGTAAATAAATCAGGCGCTTCGTTGATGCTGGCGACAAGAGGTGCTTGATTCTGTGGTCGGCCCGCAGGTCTAGACGTTGGAGCGCCCGGCGCCAATGGGAGACGATTCGCGTTCGACTGGCGTGATGGGTTCGTTGATGATGCATCTTGTCGACGCGATGGACGAGGTCCAGGGTTGAAGACGTCCAGACCAGGAACTGTCACGTATGGTCCTTTTGCCGGGCCTCGACAGTCGCTTTTCCCACACGCCGTTCGACATACACCACACAGTCCCAGATGTCTCATGTATGAATGGTATCGCCACGCCTGATCGGCGCGTTCCTCCATTGATCGGCCAACAGGTGCGTTGGTGACGTTCGTTCCACGAGGTGTAGGCGTGTGGATACTGACTGAGTGACGGTTTTGGACTCGAGGGAGGAGATTTCTGGCCAGAACTAAATCCCATATGTTGTTTGCCTGCGCGATGAATGGTAAGAGTTTGAAGTCCGGTACTTGCAGCAATTGGCGATCTCTGACCCATCGTTGGAAGATGTCGGGCGTTCCCCACACAATGTATTCCGCCAGATTCTTGGGTGTAAGAGATGTCTTGACTTGTACTAGATTGTATAGATCACGAGCTCTACCAACATAAACCTTGAAATCTTCATTAATCCCCATTCGTAACTGCCGAATGCTTTTCTCTGTTTCTTCTAACCATCCAGTCGGTAAGGTTTCTGTTGCCAGTTCATGCATGAGTTCATCCCAGGTTAATTGTTCAAGATCGGTACGTGAGTTCGTATACCATGCTCCTGTTCGTGGTTCAACCACTACCGAACCCAAGATGATGAACCGTTGTCGATGGTCGGAAACGTTTTTCAATTCGAAGTATTGTTTGATTAACCTACGCCAATTAAACAGCGCTGCGGGACTTTCCGATGGTCCATTGAACTTAGGGATTTCAGATAACTTAAGATCGCTTGCATAAACCTTGTTGACTTTCTGTTGGACTTCGGCCGGTTGTGTACAAAAGGGAGGTACTTGGATGTGAGCTTCCGCGGACTGCACGTTGTAAGGTGCTCTCGACGGTACCGTTGGTTGTTCCAGCTCCGGATCCATGAGGTGTGTGAATGAAACACGACGCGGTTCTCGTTGTACACTTTCCGTTGGCCGTATGAATGCGTTTCGAATCGGTGAATCTTGCTGAGTCATCACGGGAGATGATTGAACTAACGCTTGTGCGATCTCCGTGTTGATGGCTCTATGATCACGCGGGGCAGCTGGGGTCGGAGTCGTTAATTGATTTCGAAACGAGGCAAAGGGGTTGTTAGATCCTGTACTACGAGCTGTACCAGGAGACCGTTCCGTCAGTAATCGGGAGATTGTCAATTCGAGCGCATCGATACGGGTCCGGTCAGCGGCGGCTAGTTCCAACTTTGCAGTCCATTCCGACTTCTCTTGTTCTAAGCTTTCAACTTTTGCTTGTAGAGTCTCGACGAGTTCGTCTCGAGACATGGGTTCCAGCGCCGCGATCCCACCAATACCTTGCGACGATCCGGCTGGGGGTTGTTGCATCGGCGTGTGAATGAAGCTTCCCGGTACCAGAGGCGTCGATAGATTTGCTCGATCAAAAAATTCGCGAACTATGTGCCTATCGGGTGTGATCGTTGGATCAGGTTCAGTTGACGCAGCTAGAGTGTGAGACGACGACGGGTAAATTGTACGGATTGTCTTGTTAGGCGTATCCACGTCTTCTCCTTCTACTTGCCAGTTGTAACGTGGAGGCGCTGGTGCAGGAGGTGAATCGACGGATTGGGGTTGTCTATATCTTCTAAGAAAAGCTTTGGGATTGGTCGAGAAATTGGCAGGTAAGTTGAATGGCATAAGATCGACGATTGATTTGGTGATGGAATGTCGAGGTGTCAAGATAATGAGTCAAGAGAGATCACACGATAGTGAAAAGAAGAATAAGGTTGAGAAATAGAATAAAAAAGTGTAAGGTTCTCTGTAAAAGAACCTTCACTAGACTCTCGGGAACTCTCACGGTGGACTTTAACCACTGAAAACTATTCTAGAACTCTTGTTTGCATTACAAGCTCGCTAGCCTAGCTCCAGTCGGGGTTCGTCAAGAGAAGCGAAACAATCAGAACAAGTATAAATGAATATGAGAGTGATGATAATGACTCTTACCTAGCTCCAGTCGGGGTTCGTGAAGAGAAGAGAACCCAACGTGGAGCCAGGGCTGATAGTGAGTATAGAGAAGTCAACCTGTCTAATCCCATACTGTAACCCAATCCTTACACCAATTTCCTCAGTGAACTGATGAGGAGAATTGGCGTGTTTGAGGCGTTAGTTCTATTTAAATGTGATACATTGATGATAAATTAAGTTAGGTTTGATATTCAGATTGTATTAGGTTTGAATTGTACAGACTTGGTTGTCGTGTTTGAAATGTTGATTGTAATCTGTCACTGTATTCTAACATCTGAGCCTTCACGTCAGTCGATGCTGGCGAAAGACTCACTACAGATTATGATTTTTTTAGGTATTTGCATGATGGAGATGCGTGCAAAAGTCAATCACTGTAATCAGTTTCTTTATCGTGGATGAGCCAAGACACAAAGACAACTATGGAGCATACTTTTGTAGATTTCCGTTTGATATTCGCGGCCTTTCATCTGGGTTTCCAAAAGTACAGGGATATCTTACAGAAGTCGATTCACCAGGAGAAGTCGACGTCAGAAAATTATTTACCGCACTGTTACACTACAGCGGAATTCTACTTACTTTGTACCACGAGTCGCGCTCCGTAATGGATGAACTCGGCATTTGGATCCATCTGGTTGACTAAACCCTCTCTTTTGTCCCCATCGAAGCTTGTAAAAAACTTCCTAACAGGGTCCTTCAAATCCTCTGCCGACCATGCTAAAAGACAAAGTATTCAGGCTATGAGTCTGAACCAACAACGCTGGTCCCGGACATTGCAATGGCGTCTCACAATGTGCATGATCAAGATTTGTCAATTTGAAGTTATCCGCAAAATTGAACGCCCCGGTCAAAAAGGGAGATGTCATGAAAACAATAGCAAGAAGTGTAGTTGAGAAGCTGTTCATGATGAGATTTTTTGAATGTGGTCACAAAGAATGAGATGTTGTTCAGATGAGGACAACCAATGTTGAGCCAATGGACGACTTCATTTTATAGTGGTGACTCAAGCTCATACAACACTCCATTCGATCTGACACTTGAAAGAAACATTACGAGTCGAAGCATTGCTTGACTGGTGCTTCCGACAGTCCATCAACGTTTTGAGACAATGATTAGGTATACTTTTTGCGGCGCCGATCGCTTCAGACTGCGATTTCTTATATAAATACTCAGAAGGTATGTATCATTTATGTATGGGCAATTGCCATCATTGCCGGAGATTATGATTAATTGACTGGTAGATGGCGCTTGCGTTCCTTGCCATATGTGCCATAACAAACTCTGACCTGTTTGCTCATGGGACCTTGCCTTTTTTTATCAGCGTGAGGTGCTTATATATATTTACAACACTGATCCTGAGGTATGTATGAAATGAGGCAGTGCATCTATCAACGAACAAAAAGGCACGAATTGAATACGACTTCCTTTACACCTTATTAATATCAGCCAGTTTAACGCAAGTCACAAACGATTGCGGGTCACTTTCATCTCTGACCTTGACAAGTGTCACATAACAGCACCCGGAAGTCTTCGGATAAGCCGATCGAAATGACAGAGCCTTTGACCTTTGATTCCCTTGTTGAGACGCATCTCAAGAAATAGTGTATCTGTATATCTACTCGATAAGTGTGATATGACGGCACCGGAACGACTGGGATTGAAAAGCTATATCTCTCAAACTTCGAGGTTAAGGGCCTAGATCTCATATCATAAAGGAGCTATAAGTCTGAAGCCGACTGGAAATATTGTACGTACAGCCAATCCAACAAAGGTTGCAATTTTTTTAAAGAAAAGTCGCCGCCGCAGCAGCCAATACCAGGGCAAAGGAGCAAAAACCAAGTCAAAAGACTTTTCAATAAGATCATGGATCTTTTGAGATCCCAGATCTCCATCTCATTTCCATCAAAGCCACAATGCTACAAGCCACTCTCTCACTCTTGGGACCCAAACAATTCAAGCGCCACCAGATCCAAGATTACCTACCAGCTTGACCGAAGTTCAGAAAGGGTTCCTGCAAGACCAGCCTTGAGATTCCCTCCGGCCAGTCACCTTCAATTCTTTCTTCCTATAGGATTTCGATTTCCAATAGTTCTACAATCAGTATCACAATTTTTGCTTTCACAAAAATTCTCATCCTTCCTTTGAATCACGATCCTCATATCTTTCTCTATACAAGTCATGTCTCCAGAAGTCAATAATGTGCAAGGGTGAATGAATGGTAGTGAGTGTTTTATCTTTGCTTTGGCTCATTAGTTGTACTGATTTCCTCATCTCTCAGTCTTTGAAGACCCCCCTGTCTTACAAAATGGACCTGATGTGCCAGCTCGTCAGGCTGGTGGCATTTTGCTGGAACGTCCGGGAACTGCAGGCCGTACCCAATTTGACCTAGCGCATGAAGCGACTGTACGGATTGCTTTCAAGAACAGTTTTGAGGAAACCAGAGAACAGCCACGTGTCCGTATAGGGGGGACAAAGAAGGCTCCCAAGAAGACAATCCAGACAGTTGATTCCCGACTTTAACAATGGATTGGGACATTCCATCAAGACCTGTGTTAACCCACCTATGAAGCACCGCCGTGTGTTCCAGTGGATCCAGGCCTGCGACTACGAGGAAGAGAATGCAAGGGTAGGTGCTCTCAGGAGTACTCTATGCTCACTGGTTGGGTAGAGGGTAAGGTTAAGGTTGTAACTTTTCTCTTTTATTTAAAATATGTAGTAGTTACAATCTGAAAAAATAAAGAGAGCAAGTAACAAGAAATGGAAGGACTAGCAGTCTGCTGGGATAAATCCTGGTAGACTCCAGCTAGATGACTGCTAAAAAGGAGATTGGAGATGTATTTATTAAATATAATAATTGGATGGAAGCTGGATCCAAGGCGTCCTTTCAACCTCCTAATGTAGCAAGGTGAAAAGTGATGTAGAGGTCACTACTCTGGTTGTTCTTAAAGTCACCAACTTGGGGTTATTCTTACGGTCACCAAGCTGGGTTCTTCTTAAGGTCACTAGCCTGGGGTTGTTCTTAAAGTCACCAACTTTGATAGATGTACTTAGGGGAAATAGAGGATCCAGAAGGAAGGAATACTAATTACTTCTTGTCAGGAAACTCTTCAAAGTAAAGAAGTGAATCGCTAGTCTGATTTCTATAAGACTCTTGATTTTATACTTCTGTATAACTTCAAAGTGGATCTTTAACAGTATAGTGTAGTAAACACTTGGGGGGAAATATCTGAAGGCTCAGAGAGGAGGGGTTTTTATACTCTCCTCTCTAACTAACTGTAGTGATATTTGTTACCATCACTACATTGGTTCAAGGTTAATCATTACTATATGTTAATGATTATTACTAGAAATGCTTGATTACATATACATGTTATGTATAATATGTAATATAAGCATTTTGACCCTTGACACTGAGTTATGAGGTGTAAATGGTGTTTTATTACATATTACATGTTGTTTTAAGTGTACATGTATATGTAATACATGTTTTGGTACATTGTATTACACTTTACATACAGTCTAAACTCAGTATGTACATGTAATTAATTTTATACATAATATTTTCAATGTTACAAGTTAGTTTTGGGTACATGTATGTGTACTCAGGGCTGACAGAGAACAACAAGCCACTGGGCTTGCCTCCCCCTTGAGATGCCATTGCCTCTGTTGCTAGTGGTGCTGCTACCGGTACAGTCATTCATCACAATTACCACGGCAACCCAGGTGGTCCTGTGGCTGGTATGCCATTGTTTGGTGCTTCAGCCAACAAAAATCAACCAGTGGTAACTCCATCAAGGTTATCACCACCACCTGTTATCCCAGATGGCATAGATTTTGAAAGGTTCTTAGGCTTTGCTCAAATCGGACTGGATAAGGAGAAGTTTTGTGAGACTTTGACTGAAGAAGGTATCAATGACTTCTTACATTTGTTGGACTGTAGCACATACACAATCAAGGCCTTCCAAAAGTTGGGGATTCCATTTGCGCAAGCTGAGGATCTTTGGAAGGTGGTTCCAAAATTCAATTATTACCTCAAATCTCTTTGACCTAAAATTGAAACTTTTTTCTTCTTTATTTCATTTGTCTCAGTTGTTCTTTGTGGTTGCGAAAAGATCAATATCTCACATCCCCAATCAAAAAACTGCTTCGTTTATTGTCACTTCTCAATGTTGATGTGATTGCAAGTACATCATAAGTTTATATCACCCAAAAAATACAATCCATTTGATTGTCTCTTATGTTTCTTCTGTATTTCATTTGTCTTGGTTATCCTTTGTGGTCTCAAACAGATTGGTATTGTACAACCCTCCCAAAAATTTGAGTTGTCTGTTTTTCCTGGCTCAACTTCTTTGTTGAAATGCCTTTATGATATTGTTGTTGTTACTCATCTTAAGCATCCTGCAAAAATGAAATAGTTGTCCCTTACGTCTGTTTTGTGTTGGGTTTGGGTACCTTCTGTAGGAATTTGACTAAAATGGAAAAACGCCTTTATAAAGGTGAACACAAAAAGCTTCAGCTTTCAAGTGTTGACAAGACACTGAGCTGAGATGACTAGAGCACAAAGCTCACAAACCTGACAAAGACAAGACAAATAAAACTGAGACAGTAACACATGAAAAAGAAATATAAGACCAGAATAAGAAAAAGAAAACGACCTTAGTAAACACGTGTAAAGTACTGTAAAAGAGAATACCTTACCTTCAGATAATTTCCTTCGACAAGAAGGGAAAATCATCTGAAGGCAAACAAAGGCTGGTATATAAGAGAAATTAGCAAATTAGCGGCGGCCGCCGCCATTCCATGTATAACCCAAACACATCACAATCCCACAAGCATGACAAAACCACAATTTTATACACATACATATATATAACACTTCAGTGGTGGGCACCACAATTGATAACCTCAACCTGACAGGATTTGTTTGCCACAGAGAAGTCACAAAATTGAGATACACTGTGAGATGCTTGCACATATTTGGTGAAAAGAGCACTTAAAAAGTGGTAAACACAGTGTAGCAAGTAGTTTGAAGTTCAATGTAATTGTTAATTAAAACTTGTACATGCCAAGGAATTAGAGATTCCACCAAACATAAACTGTAATATTGTCCCAATCCAAACATCAAAGGGGCCTCAAGACTGAGTCTACTGACAGGATATGATTGTAATGAAAGTTTTCCAGGTGATTCTCAACATGCTCAACCCAAGCCTCAATCTATTCCAAGATCAGCCTATGACACATAGATATATATTTGCTTTTCCATGGGAAGCTATCTTGGTTCATCAAATAATTCCAATGGGATTTGTAAAAGTACCTTTCTTCCTCAACCACTATGCCTTTACCAGCATTGCACATGTGGGTATTACACAGTTTGGGAATGTGATTGACTTAGCTTTACTGACACTTTTCAAAGAGTATGTTCTTTCCCTCTATCCAGTTGCTTTGGGGTGTCCGCAAGAGTGTTCTGTAATCACCTCTGATAGAAGGGTATTGTTGGTTTTAAAATTGCAGTGGCAATCAAAAAGATGAAATCAATCTAAACACTTCTCAGATCATCACAAACCAAAAGAGCCTGAACAGTGGGTATGAAAAAGATTGAGAAGATCTATTCATAAAAATTGTAAATGAACATCCAGATTTCAAAGTAGTCTCAACTGAATTGAAAATCATAACTTCTTGATGTCTCTCAGCCATGAAATTATGGAGATGTGTACACTAAAAATGAATCACATCCTGTGGTAGTCTGTTGGTGCACACAGCAATCAGTTGAATAGATACACTCAAATCAAACTTTCAGTCCAGTCAATACAAATGACCCAACCAACCAGAGATTTCTAATTTGGCTTTCAGTAAGGAAGTTGTATGAAATGCATCATCAAATTTATTTAAGATGTGTAAAGATACT